GGGGGGCTGCCGTGATGGTTGACTTTCTACAACTTTCTCCCATCTCCCGACTGCATCTCTGGAGCTCAGCCACAGTGATCTTTGGGTTCTTCTTTACCTCTCTCACCAAGGCTCTTCTCCCCCGATAGCTCAGTTTGGCCGGACGGCCAGCTCTAGGAAGGGTTCTGGTCGTCCCAAACGTCTTCCATTTAAGGAATGGAGGCCACTGTGCTCTTGGGAACCTTAAGTGCAGCAGAATTTTTTTTGTAACCTTGGCCAGATCTGTGCTTTGCCACAATTCTGTCTCTGAGCTCTTCAGGCGGTTCCTTTGACCTCATGATTCTCATTTGTTCTGACATGCACTGTGAGCTGTAAGGTCTTGTATAGACAGGTGTGTGGCTTTCCTAATCAAGTCCAGTCAGTATAATCAAACACAGCTGGACTCGAATGAAGGTGTAGAACCATCTCAAGGCTGATCAGAAGAAATGGACAGCCCCTGAGTTAAATATATGAGTGTCACAGCAAAGGGTCTGAATACTTAGGACCATGTGATATTTCAGTTTTTCTTTTTTAATAAATCTGCAAAAATGTCAACAATTCTGTGTTTTTCTGTCAATATGGGGTGCTGTGTGTACATTAATGAGGAAAAAAAATTAACTTAAATTATTTTAGCAAATGGCTGCAATATAACAAAGAGTGAAAAATTGAAGGGGGTCTGAATACTTTCCGTACCCACTGTATACATATCTTACATTTTAGGTATTGACATGCAGTTCCTGCGGACAGCGATTTCCATGGCAAGTACAGCAGTGTATTCCCTTCACAAGACCTCAACACGAGATGTAAGTTGCCATATTACGTCATCATTTCACAGCTACATTTCAGCTATATTCATAAGAAAAACTTACAATTGAATTGCATTTTCATGCAGCACATTCAGAAGAAAGCTAATGATTGGAAAGTGAAAATGGAAGTCATTGCAGGTAATATTTAGTGAATCTATTGACATACACTATAGTTCAAAAGATTGGGAAAGAAATATTAAAAAAGACACATATTAAAGGCACAATATGTATGTTTTCGCCGCTAGAGGGCACATTTTCAAAACAAACAAAGGCGTAGTTTGATGACACCGTGACTGAGTGTGGAATCATGGGAGTTGTGGTCTTCATCCCCACAGCCGACACAATCCGACGGAAATCGAGGGGGTTGTGACGTCACTGGCAGGCGACACAATGACACTATGGACACGGTCCGTGTCACTTGTTAAAATTGCTTATTTCTCTGGATTTAAACGTTCTTCGAAACATTTGGGATAATGTAAGAACACAAGTCAGCAAAATATACAGTATAACACTGTTCTAGTGGTTTTTGAATATTTTACAAAAAAAATCTTACGTATTGTGCCTTTAAAATAGTCAAAAGTAATAAAGACATTTATAATGTTAAAAGATTTCTATTTCAAAACAAATGTTTTTATTGATCAGAGAATCCTGAAAAAAAATTGTTTCCACAAAAACTGTTTCCTGCATTGATAATAATAAATGTTTCCTGAGCTGCAAATCAGCGTATTAGAATACTTTCTGAAGATCTTGTGACACAGAAGACTGGAGTAATGATGCTGAAAATTCAGATTTGCATCACAGGAATAAATTACGTTGTAAAAAAATATTCAAATAGAAAGCAGTTCTATCAAATTGTAATATTTCACAATATTTATGTTTTTTTTTTACTAAATTTTTGATCAAATAAATGTAGCCTTGGTGAACATAAGAGACGTCTTTCAAATATATAAAAAATCAAATGTATGAAAATCTTAAGCAAATTTTAAACTAATACTATTTTACTATATTTCTGTTTTACTATATAATTTTATCAAATATATGCAGCCTGTATGAGCTTAAAAGACTTCAAAAACATTACAAAATCTTACCAACACAAAACTTTTAAACTGTGGTTTAAGTTTTATTGTCTGAACACCAAGAGCATAAAGGATCTTATGCAGAAACTTGTAAGTTGTAATAAGCGTTATAGCACGTTATAATATGATGTTATTTATCCTCAACTGGTGTCATCCCTTCACAGAGCTCAGATATGACCTGCCAGCATCTTATAAGTTCCACAAAAAGAAGTCGGTAAGTGAATGTTTTGCTACAAACCTGTAAGCTAATTGCCACAAAAATATTGCACTGGACACATGTAAACACATTTTCTCAGACTTCACAAAGACAAACTAGTAACTTTTTTTTTCCTATCTTATTATTTTAGGTTGATATTCAAGTGGACTTCATTCGATTTACTCCAACATAAACGGCAAAAAGGAATTTGTGTTGCTTTGCAAAAAAAAGTTTTTATATATATATATATATATATATACACTATATATACTGTTCTTCAAAGTAAATTTGATAAATGACCATACTGCATCATTTTTGGGTGGATACCACAAAAATACCAGAGTCTTGTGCTTTTCACATTTTTGGCAGCATACACAGTTAATAAAACAATAAATCACAATAACTAAAAAACAATAAATTACACATATTTATAATAAAATCCTGGGTCTTACAAATACAAAATCATCCAAATAAATATAAATAATACTAAGGAATAAATACATTTCTTGATTTAAAACACCAAAACAGATTATTTTTTTGCTGCAAAATATTAGTCTACAAAAAGGTACTGTGCAAATAGTGAAGTGCTGTAATCTATTGTGCTGTTCAGTATATATTTAGAAACAGCCCTTTATCTTCCAGCACAGATAACATACAAACTGTGTCTCACACATTATCAGTGTTGAACAAATATATCATTTCGACATTACACTCACCAGTTTAGAATAGCGGGGTCCAAAAGTCTGACATTTTCAGGATAACATTTCAAGTGATGATTTGAACTGAAAATGAAGAATTCTTATTGGTTTGTCTCCCTTTTGGAGCTGATGTGAACAAAACCTGATGGCCATGTTCTCTAGCATGATTTGAGATGCTCCAAAGAGCATCTTGAGCTTCAGTGGACAAACATCTAACCATCTATACAAAGAGTCGTGTAATTCATGTGACAAATTTGCAGGGTTCCTATGCAGTATGGAATTTTGAGTTTTAGTCATTTCCAGGTCTGGATAAGTATGGAAAAATATCCATATCTTTTTCCTTGTTTACTAAAATATAAAATTGATAATTTCCAAAAATAAATGTCATATTTTTCATCATTTGGAGCAGCCGTCTGTGCAGCCATAAGTATAGTAAATGTGCCAGTGGATTTTTCACTTTGTAAGTATTTACAGATAATGCTGAAAATAACCTAAAATAATGTTATGTGGATGAATACGTTATGGGTGAGGATGTGAATGGAGAGATAAATGGTAGCAAACATTATACTGGATAGCATATTCTGCTATTATTTTGAAAATAATATTTTCTCATACATTTCTAATGTAATCTCTGACAATATTATTTTTTACATTTAATAAAGTAATCAGTGACATTATTTAGTGATACTATTACTATTTTGTATTTATTTTAACGTATAATATGAATTTGAAATATTCCACAGGTTTGCAGTCAGTGTGATTGTGTGTTAAAATAATCAAATGTGTACATGGCTACAATATTCCACCAATTATTTGGCAAAATAATAGCATACATACGTAGTAAACATGTTAACAGCTACATTTTTAATTCATTTATCAGATGAAGTGGAAAAACCTGGAGAAAAAAAAAATCAACAGAAATGTCTGGAATAGTATGGAAAAATCCACAGAATCACATCATATGACCCCTTTAAATGGCAAATATGTAGGAACCCTGAATTAGTGCCAAATCTGAAGTATTGCCTATTCACTTTAAAACATTAACAAATAAATAAAAGTGGTCTCAGACTTTGACCTCACTGGAAGTGGCTCCACAGACAGTGACTGTGCTGTGATTTCACACGCTGAACACACACGCAGTCGATCTCAGGGTCGTACCTCTCTATACTCTGCAGATACGTCCCTTAGAGTATGAATACCCACCTGCTACATAGATGCACCCATTTATAAAGGCTGATCCGCACTCCATCATCGCACACATCTGTCTCCACTCATCTCGCTTGGGATCATAGCAGTCTATGATGGTGGTCTGACTGCCAACCAGATAAAGCTTATTGTCCAAGGAGACCGAGCAAAGGCCGTACTCTGAAAGTAAAGAGTCTTGATGCATTTTTCAAATGACAAGAGATTTCTGTTGCTGACGTAGAAGGCAGCAACCAACCTATGGTGGTTGTAGCCTAAAGATCTGAACCGTATAACTTATCTAATACAAAATGTAGGTGGCTCACCAGGATGTGGACCTATCGTTGGGATGCTCCACTCACTGATATCTGGCCGGTAAGTCTGAATCTTTTCATAAGTGCAGGTTCCTCTGTACCCATAATGCCCTCCGGTTACATAGACTCTTGTCATTCACCACGCATGCAGTTGCATTTCCCACACCTTTAAAGTCAAAACAGAAAGACGATGAACTTCCATCAACAGGCATTTTAGGTCAATACAATGCATTTTCCAACATTTTTGTTTTAAAAAGCTGAAATCCTGGTGTAGCTTGATTTTCATGCACTTGATTTTTTTGATATTTTTGAAAGACGTCTCTTATGCTCACCAAGGCTACATTTTATTTGATCAAAAATTTAAAAAAAAACTTAAATATTGTGAAATATTACAATTTAATAGAACTGTTTTCTATTTGAATATATTTTAAAATGTAATTTATTTCTGTGATGCAAAGCTGAATTTTCAGCATCATAACTCCAGTCTTCAGTGTCACATGATCCTTCAGAAATCACTCTAATATGATTATTTGCTGCTCAAGAAACATTTCTTATTATTTATCAATGATGAAAACAGTTGTGCTGCTTTATATGTGTGGACAACTTGATTAAAAAAAAATTCAGGAATGATGAATAGAACGTTTATTAGAAAATTATAAAATAGGAATAGAATTAGAAAGTTTAAAAGAACAGCATTTTGAAACATTGTAAATGTCTTTATCATCACTTTTAATCAGTTTAATGCATCCTGAATAAAAGTATTAATTTCTTTAAAAAAAAAAATTCAAACATTTGAACATTAAAAATGTACATATCAAAATATTTGCCAGAAATTTAAAATGCTGTTTTTATGTTTATATTATATTTAGTGCTGTCAAATGATTAATGCAATTGCAAATGACAGGACCGCATTTAAGTATGCAGTCTTGTACTTTTGTAGATGCCAGTCTTAGATTTTGTAGATGCCTCTTAACTGAAAGTTGCTTCTTTCCACACATTGAGGTCTTCTGTAGCTAATATCATCAATAGCTTTTGGAAATCCACCTCTAGGAACTCCTCCTGAAGTGTGAGTTCTTCAAAGCGACTCAGTATGATCCTCAAAGCCTCGCGCTGCAAATCAGAGCACATGTGAAGCTCGGCGAACGAGTGCATCCGGAGGCAGTTATCAACATCCAGCAGATGAATCAAAAAGTCCTCGCAGGCTTTCTTGAGCGAGTTGAACTGCAACAGGTCTGTGGCTTCCAGAAGACTTTGGATGTTGTTCTGGGTTATGCTGATCTTTGAAGTGTAGACGTAGCTCACCAAAGCTTCCAGAAGCTCTCCGTTTTTGCAAGGTAGGTTGATGGTGTCGTTCAAACGTTCTCTCATGTCTAAGGTGAACATTACCTTGAAACAGGTGCAGGCTGATAGGACAACCTTGTGGCAGTGGCAGAGCTGTCCGGATGAAGACTGCAGGGTGACGTCCGTGAACAGACCGCTGCTGTGAAACTCGTGAAGAGCTTCCAGCACCTCGGAGGAGTGAGAGGCATCGCAGAACTCGTAGGAGTAACCGCTTTGAGCTTTTCCTGACATTGCAACTGGAAAGAGAAGATTTTTAAATGAGTTTTCAAGTGTCCTAACAAAATTAACTTATTCCTAAAATTTTCCCAATGAAACTTCATTGAAGTTGTAGGAATTTAGTAAACAAACATTAGAAAATGAATGTTTCTAGTTGCGCTCAATTCTAAGATTGTTTATTGTCCATGACAATAATATATTATTATTATATATGATCAGTGTTGGGGAAAGTTACTTTTAAAAGTAATGCACTACAATATTGCGTTACTCCATAAAAAAAGTAACCAATTACGTTACTTAGTTACTTTTTTATGGAAAGTAATGCGTTATGTTACTTTTGCGCTACTTTTTAAATCTGGACAGGGCTTGCTTGTTTGTTTTTAAAATAAAAAAAGTTCTATTTTTGGCAAATATAAAAGCATGGTAGCATACAAAATATGAAATTGTTTTGGCATAGTAACTTTTCTATTGTCTAAAACTTCTTAAACGAATCTCACATCTTGATCTTGCCCCCCAAACTTGATTAGTTGACTCTTGTCTGAACGTGTACTAGTAGGTTTTTGGGTCCATCTGATTACCTAACAAGTTTTACAAAAATATATCAATTTTAATATTGAGCACAAAATTCACAAAAATTCTAAAGACAATTTGGAACCAGTGTCATTTAGCAACATTGAGATACTATTAAAGTTAAATAGTAAATACTTTGAATTAGTTTTTTTTTCCGTTTTGATTTGAATTCAAGTTTTTTCTAAATTTACTGTTGTTTTTAATGTCTATATAGTTTGTATTTTTTAAGCTTTTTCTGCATTTCAGTTTGTTATTTTAGTACATAATGTGAAAGTGAAAAAGAGAAGATGCCTCTGCAACAAGCTGAAATAAAAATACGTTTTTACATATTTAATTTCAGTTTATATTTTATCCTTTTTAATTGTTTTACTTTTAATCAACTATAATAATCCTGTTTTGTACTTCGTTTTTGCAACCAACCCACAATAACACTGCTAATGATGAAAAAAAAAAAGATTCTGCCTTATGCCTCAAACAGTAATAGCGTTTGTGACAACTAGCCCCTATGTAAAAACAAGCTTACCTGGCCCGTATAATGACTGATTGACACTCGTCCTTTCTTCGCTGGAGAAGTTTTATCCCCAACAGTGTGCCTTGTGCTCGGTCAGATAAGATATGTGGCCCCTGTATTTAGCGTCAGCCACTAAACTAGAAAATGTCGAGCTCCTATTTTGGTATCGGTGTAAAGCAGGGGACTATTGGTGTGTAGTTGCCATTAAGTCCACAGGGTACAGTAAAAGGACAGAAATAACTCACGGTTACATTGGAAACAGTGTGAGGGTCATTCGATGAAGCGACCTGCTTCAGGACCTGGAAGATGTGCTGTGATAAGTGGAACCATGAATTCTGCTGTTTACCAAAAAATCCTGAAGGAGAATGTCCGGCCATCTGTTCGTGACCTCAAGCTGAAGCGAACTTGGGTTCTGCAGC